ATCTATGAGCTGCATAACAGTCTGAATTTGATCTGGTTCAAATAATGCTACCATGTCCTGAAATCCAGGGCATTATACACTTTCCAAATGTACAATGTCATCAAGGTTTTATGACATTTCCTACAAAAACTCTATAGTCAGGTAGCACTTCATCAGTTGAAGTCTAAATTCAGGTATGGGAACAGAATGCTAGGACTGCTATAAAACTGTGCTGCTCCTCTGACATCGTAGCAAAAGAGGCTATTCCACTAAAAACCTCCATATACACACATTTCTGTTACTTGCTAAAGCAACTCCTATCTTGGAATTACAGCAGTAGGACCAAAACTCTATACTCAATGATCTCTGGCCTTCTACAAAAGCTTGCTCAGAGATATTCTGCCACCTGGGGTTCCCTGTTTACTCAACCTCACTTCCTTCCTCAAGTAACAAAATGCTCAGAGCATCATGTCCATGCCTGTTGCCCAGACATGTGATCTGTCCAAGTGGCTGATGGAGTACACGAGCCTTCTGAGACCAGGGACTCTGAAGGCAGAGCTGACAGATATGAGGTGCAAGCCTAACCTCGCCAGGTTAAACATGGCTATGAAAGGAGTATACCCAGCCCCACTGGCATCAAAACACAGTGAGGGTTGCCAAAGAGTCTAGGAGAAAGAAATATTAAGTAATACTGCACCTCTGACATTGACATGAGTTTATTATTCTTCCATGCCAACACACCCTAATCCAAAGCTTATGCTGCTCCAATCTAGGCCTGCCCTGAAACAGTCAATTTTACTGAATGTGGCCAAAACACCAAGGAGTCTCCAGACCCAAAGACAATGCTTCATGAGTCTTTGTATTGTTGCTTGAGTTGGTTTTTGAATTGTGTGCATCACTTCTGTGGAGATTACCTCTTTTAATATCTCTTAGATTCTGCAGGAATAATAAACTCCTGTCCTTTCCCTATGTTGCCAGTGCTTTTATCTCCTCAACAAATGTATTGGTAAACAGTGAAAAATCCATTATCTGCATAACTTAAACAAGTAGGAATGTGATCATTTGCCCAAAGAAGCCATAAACATACAACTAGCTTTGTTCTAGAACTTCCAAATTGGCTCCGAAACATTTTGATCTGGTTATGGAGAAAAGTTTTAAATTTTGCAAAATATACACATCAGCAAAAGTGGTCATTTATCATTTTCAATTGAATGACCCATCTTAAAATATGTACTGAGTAAATTGTTGCCATTTATTCCTCAAGAATGAGGACATTTAGTCTCAATTCCTGGTAAAATATTCAATTGTGATATTTTTCCTTGATTCACTTTCACACCTGGTGTTTTTAATCATAAAACTTGTGGTTCAGGCCCTCACTGGTGGCTCAGCGGGTTAACGCACAGAACTAAGAAGCTTAAGCTGCTTCCGCATGAGTTCGATTCCCCGCCAGTCCCGGAGGAGACCACATGGCGTGGCAGACCTCTCCTGGCCCGCCCGCTGCTCCCCTCAGCAGTGCACTTCACTTCATCGATCTGCCTGTTCTGCTCCTCACTCTGTCTCTGGTGAAGTCTCTCACCCTCCGCATCTCTGGCCTGTACCCCAGTTCTGTATGAATAAATAAATCTTTAAAAAAGAAAAAAAAAACTTGCGGTTCAATGAAAAATGAGGCTTATTTACTTAATTTGAAATAAAATCATTTTATCGCATTTTCCCAAAGACAAAATCCTTACATCAATACTGTATAACCTTGGACAAGCTTACCATAAACCTCAGCATCCTTAAGTGTCCTAGGTTTAATAACTCTACCTGTTTCATGGGTTTATGCTCAAGATTAAAAAAAAAAAATCAGTATGTTATAAGCACAGCAGAGTATCAAGCAAACAGTGTTCAATATAAGTTCAATAAAAGTTCAGCTTTTATCATTGCTCCTGAGGATTTAAATGAAAAAAGTCTTCTTTTGAATCCTTAGAACATGTCCCCAAGAATTGTCATTTTAATGAGTCCCTTAGCACTGCCCAACAAAGCCCCTTAGATTTAAAGGTCATTGGTCATGTCTTCCCATTTCTTTTCTAAACATCCGTATCTTAGCTGAAGTTGCAAAGGGGAATGAAGTGGAATTCAATGACCAGATCTTTTTCTGTAAAAATCTTGACAGAAATAAATTAATAACAGGATCCATCAGATCACCCGTATCTTGAGGTTTTCAAATAAATGCTGTATTTCTACTTTAACTCTCCAGTAACATCTCCATGAGTTGATTTAAATCTAACTTTAATTTTTCAGTAAGAGTCCTGTTACTTTATACTTGAATTTAGGATTCTAGCTGACTATAAGAGAAAAAGAATGCACTTGAGGATATTGAGTTTAAAAAGAACTAATCTAATATTAAACTAAATTAATACTGAGTTTTAAAAGAACTAATTGACTTATGAAAAGGCTAGAACACGGGTAGGTGGGTTCCTGGTTTTTGAGCTTCATTGATTACATAATCATTGACTCTTCGTGGAAACAAATGAATCCCAATTGCTACCGTCATTTTTGCACAGCTCTGGCTTTGAGCCAAAGCCACAGGTAAGAGTTGTTCTGGAAGCAGGACTTGAATATGTCACTTAATCTTGTCCATCCAGATGTTCCACCCAGGACTAACTCTGAAGCAAATTCACACATTTATTCATCTAATCAACAAATATATACCTTTTGGCTGATAAAAATACAGTAATTGGAGGGGAAGTAAAGCCTCTGCCTTTATAGAATTTAATATTCTAGTCATGTAAGTGAACAAAGCAAAAACTCATAATGTCAGATTTCTACTTAGGAAATAACATCTACTTAGAAAGAACAACTGAGGGACAGAATGTAGGAATGTGGGAGGCCACAATATCTTGTATAGGGCAAAGAGGATGTATACCAAAGTACTGTTCAAGCAGGAGCCAGAAAGAAACTAAAAAAGCAACACATGAGTAACTCATGAGGACATTTAGGACAGTTCTGTCCAACAGAAACAGTTTGAGCTGCACAGGTAATTGTAAAATGATAAATGATAGTCATACTTTAAAGATTTAAAGAAACAGGTGAAATGAATTTTACTAATATTTGTTTCTTTTCCCCTATCTGTCCAAGATCTTATTGCAACATATACTTCTGAGATATCTTACACACCTCTTTTTATACTGTCTTCAAAATATAGCATATACTTTAATCTTACAGTGTATTTTTATTTAAATATTTATTTATTTATTTTATTTATTTATTCATACAGAACTGGGGTATACAGGCCAGAGATGCAGAGGGTGAGAGGATTCACCAGAGACAGAGTGGGGAGCAGAACAGGCAGATCTACAAAGTACACTGCTGAGGGGAGCAGCGGGTGGGTCAGGAGAGGTCTGCCTCGTCATGTGGACTCCTCCGGGGCAGGCGGGAATCGAACTCATGCGGAAGTAGCTTAAGTTTCTTAGTGCAGTGCTTTAACCCACTGCGCCACCAAGGAGGGCCTCTTACAGCATATTTTAAGAACTTAATAGCCACCTGTGGTTCATGACTACCATCTAGGGCAGAGCAAGTATAGGGTGAGACTATCCCCACAGAGAGTCTGGCAATTGTCAAATCCCTGAGAGCTGCCTGAGCTGTCAATGGAAAAGCACAAGGTAACAAAGGCAAAAATAGAGTAGGCTATGGGAAAAGCAGAAGTACAGGAGGTGAAAACAGGAGAAGGTAAGTAATGCAGAGTATTGCAGACCATGGTGAAGATACTACTTTTACTTTGAATGAGATTAGAAACCAGTGAAGGTAGGGACAGCTTCCTGGGCATGTGACTTGGATAGCTGCACAAAGCCCAAAACTCAGAAAGGCCCCATACTTGACTGAATGCTCAGCCATCACCATTCTGAAATTATCGGTAACTTTGGATCAAGGGTCCCCATATTTGCATTTCACACTTAGTTCCATCAATTTTATGGCTGGATGTACCTGGAGAGTTTTGATCAGAGGGTGATATAAATTACTAAATATTTCAAAAGGATTACTCCACTTTCAGTTAAGAATAGGACGTAAAAAGATAAGGGTATAAGCAGGGGAAATGTTAGGGTTCTGTTGATATAAACAAGGCAAGAGATGATGGTGGTGATGATGATGGGCCAGTTAGATTCCATTTCTCTGCACCCGAAGTAGGGGAGCCCAGCAATGTCCTGGCCAGTCCACTCCCCCTGTCCACCATTGATTCCTGCCCAGTGTCCATGTTGGTCGCCTGGTTAATCTATTACCTTTCCAATAGAACCTGTTAATCTTCCCAATAGAATTTCTTTCACTATGAAGAGTAGGAGTTGGTTTCTCTTCTTGCCTACCTTTTTCTAGGTTAAGTCGGGATACATTATGGTCCAACCAAAACTGAACACAGTAGGAAATGTGAATTTTCCAAAATAAAAGCAGGGTATTATCACAAAATCATCATGCCCTACAAGGGAGAAAATGAGTTGCTGAAAAAAGAAAGAAGAGTCCTCACCAGGTCCAGCAACTTCTGTGTTAAGTCACTATCAGAAACTATTATGCCTTCTCTCAATGATACCAATTAAGTAATGAATGCAAACACTACCCCCTACACCCTTAAAATCTATCTGGGTTCGGCAGGATAGATCTACTAAAGTTTATGTAACTCAAAATGCATCTAAAATACATTTAAGACCCAAATGCATTTTAAGCCCAAAATGCATTAAAATACAGTAATTTGGACTTTCTAAAATTTTAGACTTATGTCTAAATTTGTGCAATTACCACTACGTTTAAGCATAAAAAAATATTCACTATTTAGCTATTGGGTGTTAAATAGAAAATTCATCAGGCCATGTTAGAAATAACACAATACAACCTCCAGTGAGTCAAATGCCAGCCCTTTAGAAGTTTATGCTTTTTACTCTAAAATTCTTTAAAAATAATTTATTTTTTCCAAATAATCAAACATATGTCTGAAGTCACAGAACACGGATGATGCCAATTCCCAATCTGAAGAGCGTGTGTCAGCTACTCACCTTTTTCTGAAGAACATTGATTTTTCTCTCCTTTACTTCTAACATATCTTTCATGTCCCGAATCTCTCCAGCCAGTGTCCCCTTCTCTTCCGTGAGGTCCTGTAGCTGTTTTGTTTTTTTATTGAGGAAAGATTCTTTCTCTTCCAGTCGTAATCTCAATGCATCTACCTGAAATCATGAAAAAGACAGAAGGTTGTGCTTTCATCATCATGGTGCCCTGAGAGAGGGGCCAACTCTAAACCTTCTGAAGAGACCATGTCAAACTCAATGCCATGGGCTCTTGCTGCCTCATGGGCCACCTCCCATAGCATGTAAGTCTGAATAGTGATGTGTTGTGTACTATTAATTTTACATGAGATAAGAAATGAAACAGTGGCTTGTCTTCATGTGATGGTACCATAAACTGGCAAACACAGCACAGTGATCAGTATTACTCCATGTCTGTCAGTGCAGGGCAGATACTGAGCTACTCACACTCCAGGCTTCCTCCTGGAGGAACACACCAACCCCACCACAGACATCTGCAAGAACAAAACTGGCACGTAGGGAAACATCCCTAAATTAAAAAAATATATGTTGCCAGGAGGAAGTGGATACTGCTGGAGGGAGAAAACGCTGTGGAAGTGGCACCCCTTCTCCATCATTAGGAAAGACTTCTTTCTAAATACCAAAGACCAGGACAAATACCCCAAAATTCCTATTTATACATTGACTCCAAAATCAGATTATAATTTTTGCTTTTCAAATGCCAGTAATAAAAAGAAACATAAGTTTTTTTTTTCTTTTTAATTTAACATTCGAAGACAATATGTTTATGTGGGGTGTGGAAGAATTTAAATGCTTACTCTCCATACCAGGAATTTAAGAGGTAGTAGCCACATCAACAATCAGGAAGTATCCACGCAAGCATGTTATGTAGAGATATTGGAACAGTCTGACAAAAAAATTAAAAGGAATGAATAAATGGAACAGGAGAATGTAGGGGGTTGCTGCTTCTCATAGGGAAACTTGTTGAGCATTTTGCTTGTTATATTGCCATCAAGTAAAATTTGAGTAAAAAGAAAAGGACAAGAATTTTTGAAATGCACGAATTCCATAATAACCAAAATAAATCAGTCACAGAGTCAAAAGACAACTTGCAAAAATGGAAAGAGGACACTCATATATTAAGCATCTGCTTCTATCTAGCTGGGAGGATCAGCGCAAATAACTTCCACTTTCTTCCTCAACCCCAGTCACTCAGCCTTGACTTCTCCATCTATAAATCAGAGCTTGGAACAGAGAGTCTCTGAGCGCCTGAAATTATGGTTTCAAAGCCAAGAACTTAAAAGACAGTCTTGGTTAGAATACATCAGGGCAGGATGATGATATTGGAAACAAAAAAAGCTACTGGGGTAGACTCCTTTTCCTACTCTTTTATAAGAAAAGCATACCAAAGTCCAGTTTCTGAAGGAAAAAGATGAAGGGAAGGTGACTGAGGAGAGACTTTTTCCAACTCTAACCCAAAAAGGAATATGAAGTCTGGAGGCTCCACCCAGGGGAAAGGTGACCACTCGTGCTTGAAGGCAGTTGGCAGAGAGGCGCTTCCAGCCTTAGGAAGTGAGTATACAGGCCAGCCCCTGAGAGCTGTGCTCCTCCCAATACAGTGACCAGAAGTAGAGGAGTGGTGTGTGAAGGGAACACTCAGGGCACCTTCCCTTCGTTAATGAATATGTATGCCAGTTGCACTAACGCTTAAGCATTCTTCATTCTCCAAGTGGCCCACTGTAAATGAGATGACTTATTTAAAGTCATCTTCATCTACCACCCTGGAACACTGATACTTAGGTTTTTTTTATCCTCTCTGATAAAAAATATTATTTTTAGTTTATATGTCAAGAAAAGTATCTGGCAGATTTCTTGGAAATCTCTCCAATACTCAAGTCTAGCAGTGGTTATATAAAGAGTTAAATTCCACTGTAGAGATTACACATAGACTGAGCAGGACTCAGTGTGAATTTGAGAAGAAACCCACGATTGTAGTCCCGTCTGCTCAGCATTCTAGCTATCAAAGCCAGATGATCTATGTCTGAACTAAAGGAAATGCCCACTAGCCAAAGCTGTGATGTAAATAAGTTACAATATGGAAAGAAGTAGTGTGCTGGAGTTTAGAAAAAGAGACTGAATTGCTGAAGAATTCATCTAATGTTTGTAGATTCTTCCTACCATGTGTGATGTTCAGAACCCAACCACATCTTCCTAGGCCCAGAAGACATGCAAAGCAATCAGAGTGATGAGAATCTTGCCCCAGGAATGAAAGAGAACATGGATGCTCATAAGCAACACACTATTCATAACACCCAAACTCTACATGACAGGAGAGAGTCTGCGCCAACTGAATCTTCTTTTTGACAGTTTATTTCCATGCTCCCAAAAGCAAGAATATGCCTTTCAGTCATATTCACTCTATTTTTAAAGCTTTATACATTCTCCTAAAATCAGGAAATGAAGCATACAGGGCTTTATTCTTTTTAAGACAAAACTTTGACCTGAATCACATCCAATTCTCAACCAACATGAGCCCAGTTTGCAGTAAGCAAATATGACATCATTTCTAAAGTCAAATTTGAACTTCCAAATGGTACAAAACCACAAGCAAGCTCACAGGCCTTCTGATACACATAGGTTTAAATACAGGGGTGATCAGGCAAGAAAGAATATAGTCTCCTGAAAAATCAGAATATGTGGTTCTAAAGTCGATGTTAGTGAGTAGGATTATAGCTCCTCTCACTATTGCTTGGACTTCACTCACCAGTGTGCATCATTTTTAAAAGAATCAGAAAAGCCTTGAAATCTAAATGATATTCCAACATCAGGTAGAGACATAAAAGTTAAAATGTTTGGGAACATGAAATACCTTTCTCTGCCTCTTCACTCAACACCAAATAATTTTAAGCATCATTGACTCTCTCTCTTAAACTTTGGCAGTTGATTCAATAATAAAACTTGGCAAAGGAGCTCATTTGTTGCTCATTTCCCAGAAAAACAAAAGAAAATTAGAACTGTGTGATACAGTCAGTACACAAAAACCCACAGGTTACGTTTTCAATTTTTACATGTGGCTTGACCGCATGAGGACTGGTCACCTAATCTCAAGACATGGATAATCTTTCCACTGTAGGAGAATTTCTTATTTCCTTCATGTGTGTGTGTTCGTGTGCGAAGGGCATGTAACATATGAAAGTTTACCTTTTTTATATGGCAATATGAAACATAAAACATTTGTTATCACTTCAATTCCAGGTAATAATTTAAAAGGAAAGGACCATGGCACTGAAATTGGCAAAAATTGCCACAATCAGAGTTAAACATTATTAATCTTCTTGTCAGCACCCAGGAATTATAACCAGTTCCAATGCTGAGGTATGTTTCTAGAAGTTATATACATAAGCCCCCTGACCTTTCTACCATATTTTACATGGGCATTCAGAAACAGTTTCAATATTGTGACTGAACACTAGGCGCCACTTGATGTGCCATAAATAATTTTTAAAAGAATCAAACAGTTCATGTCTACCTTAAAATGACTACAACAACACTTGAATGGGGTGGGGGGGAACACATGAGAGAAAAAAAGGACCACTTGAAAATTTTCACAGATTAAAGACTATTTTCTTGACAATGCTTCAGGAATTGAATAAACAGGCTATTACAAAGAACAACTTTAAAAGACCGTGAAACTGAAACATTCACAAAAGCTCCCAATACAGTTTTATTTCACATTCAGAGTTTCATGTGTTTGTTTTTCCTAATAGTAGAATTGGATTAAGGGTATATTTGAATTTGATTCAACTTGCAATCATTCAAATGGGGAGATGGTTTCCATGCTGGGAGTATGTATAACATACACAGCCTCCAAAGACACAAACACTAAAAATAACCTGAAATCTAAAGCTTGCTTTGGTGGTAACCCCTAGTTCTCACTCATATACAATTCTCCTTTCTTTCCTAAACACAGGGAAAATCTTCCTTCTCAGTCTATGTGCAGAAAATTAGGGCCACGAATGTCCCTCTGAATAGAATGGAAGTGATGGCATCACTTCCTGTCCATGCCCCCCACACAACCAACCCTCCCTCAGAGATCATTGTGCTATATTTTCCTAATTCCGAGCTACAAGATGGCAGGATCCATAAATTTGAATCCTTAAGTAATGAAGGACTCCAGTGCCTCCCCACCTACATCTAATCCCAAACACGGGTTAGATTTACAGCATGATGCATGAAAGTATTCTGAAGTTATTGCAATAATCTTTCCTGGTTTTGCTAGGAAAATGGAACCTTAAGACTAGAAATGTGTATTTGCCTGAAAATTACCAAGAACCTAAAAAAAAAAAAGGACCAGTGGATATCCTTTTACTTATTCTGAAGATGAGCACTCAAAATACACTTCCCTCTCTTTTTATCCCAGATCCAAAGAAGAAGGAAAAGTAGCAAAGAGTCAAATACAGAGCTATAAGGAAGTAGTAGATTCCTGGGAAGTAGACACAGAATTTAACAATCAAGACCTTGGAGACCAAAGAAAATTCACGGAGAAAGAGTCCCCTTAAACTGTATTGAACTGTACTGAACATCTGTTTAGATAGACAAATGATTCAATTGAACAACTCTGTCTGCAAAACTGTATGAATTACAAATATATGTGTTCAAGCAACTTCTGGCAATGACCAGAGCTTCCAAATTTCAAGAACATAACTAAGAAAACATTCTAAGCAAAATGAAAATAATAACAGTACCTCCTTCATCAAGTTATTTTGGGGATTAAATTAAATAGTCCATGTAATACACTTAGCACAGTGCCTGGCACCTAGAAACACTCAATAAATTTTTGCTATTGTTATTATATTTTACTATTATGCTTTCCACAACCTCTAACCCAGTGATTTATATACTGTAGGAATGCAATAAAGGTTACTAATCAACAGCCTTCAGGAAAAGTGGAGGACCAGCAAATAAGGTTTTGTGCTCTCACATGTACCAAGATGTTATACTGTATGTCATTTACTTTAAAATATTTCAGCATACACTCTATATGTGGGTCTATATGGGGGGTGTCTGGGTGGGTAGGCGGGTGGGTGGAATGAGCATGTGTTTCCCAACTAATAATAAATTCTCCAGGCATAGTTAATTAG